TGGTCGTGATGGTAATCTCTCTACGTAATTTGTCCTCTGTGCTGAAGGCAAAGGCATTTGAACACTTCACCATAAAATGCCCTCTTACTAGGGTAATGACTTTCTAGTAAAATTACAGTATTAAAATTCCTCTGCATTTTTACAGGCAGGCAGCTTAAGTTATCCCATATATATCTCTATAATGAAAGGTGTGCAAACATCAAAAACCATTGTGATGAAAATAGAAAACCTTAGGCACAGTCGTAATTTCGCGTCAAGACAGCTCCTACGGACTCTGCATAACTTAAAAAGTGTAAGTCCATATTTTCCCCTCTGACTACATTATAAAAACCAAAGATTTCATTAGATGAAGATGATTTTAGATATGTATTACCTAGTTGCAAAACCTAGAAAAGCTATTTGGTACATGTAAAAATAAAAATTCCACTTAAACCTCAAAAACCTGTATATTAACAATTATGTTGGTGGGAACTATCTATCTAAAAGATCCTATTAGCAAAAGAGTCAATTACTAAGACTCTATAAACAACATTCGATATGATAGCTGTTTTTAACAATTTACAATGACATCTTTTCTCAAGCAGCTGTTTAAGATTAAATTTTAAAAACCACTGAAATTCTACCTAACCTTCTTTTGTGAAAGATACAGCTGCAATAGAATTAAGTCATTCTTTTTTTGAAAAATATTTTCAGCAACTAAATAACAAAGTTGTTATCACCCTTCTCATTTATATTATGTTGGTTTTGGTAATCACTATTTTAACCCCTTCTTTACCACTTTCAAATATTTAAAATTATTTTTTTCTGATAAAAGTCACTCAGTTTTAGCTATAATTTGGTTTTCATTTTAAGCAAGATCTAGCAAGATTAAAATTAAACTACAAAAAAAAAGCATATTTTGACCTTTTTGGCAAGTAACATAAAGGCCAAAAGAAATTACTTTTTCTATCTTCTTTCTCTACATTTGTATTTCATTATTTTTTGCCATTATTACTTAAATTTCATACAGCTCTTGGAAGTAACTCTGATTACTTACCACTGCATTGACATTTTAAAACCACAGCAAACATGCTCTGCTAAAAATACATTTTCAAGTAAAAAGAATTTTTTGTGTCAGATGATTTAACTCAAAACTTACTCTAAATAAAATCTCAATTTGTGAAACAGTCCATTTCTAATTAACCTTATGCCAATTTCTGCTGATCATTCCATCACTACAGAAACAGAAGAGCAATTACATCTGGACAAGCATTTTTTGATGTAAACACATAAACAACAAATGAAAAAAATAAACTTCTTCCCAACTTTATAAAATGCCATGTAATTAATTGTACATGTTATAATAATGATTGCAAGTAAAGGGAAACTTACTCTAAAATAAAACTCTTCATTCCATTTTGGATTCAGTGTCTGTAAAAGAAACAAACATGTTTACATACTAAAATTTCTTTAGGTTTGCCATTTTGCAATCATCAAAATGTGCAAGTGACAATTTTCTAGGAAAAAAAAGGACAGAAAGGCATGTCAAAAAAATTGAAAAAAATATTGCCAGATTATTTAGAAATTCTCTGAGTAAACCAAATGTGGGAGGATATTTGAGTCAGATGATCCTAAAATAGATGTTAAGTATAAATAGGTTTCTATGAGTAAAATGCAAATCACTGAGAACCTATAGAAATAAAACCTGAAGACATTTCAGTCTCAAAATCCATTTAAACCCAGGTAAAAAAAAAAAAAAAAAAAATTTTAAACACAAGGACAACTTTAGGGCTAAAAAAATAAGGACAGATTTATACTGTAAATTAAACAGAAAAAGAAGAAAGAAGAACAAAAGGAAAGGTTATTTCCTTTTAATAGATATGATACTCTTCCTGATCTCCCCCCAAGCCTAAAATCCCCCAAGGATTTTAATTTTGTTTTAATAACCTGAATAAAATGTACAGAATAAAATATGCATATAGATTGCAATCTGAAGGGAGCTCAAGCATGAAATAATAAATTGATAAAAAAAGATATTAGAACTACAAACATTAATATTTTGGGCAATTCAAATTTGGATAAGTTTAAAAACAAGTATGATAAGTCCAATGGTTTTGTTTTCATGCCAAATCATTCCCTAATTCTCTCACATAGCAGAGATTTACCAGAAGAGCTGACAGTAAAAATTGGCTCTAGACCCACCAAAATTTTATTATAGCAGAGAAGGAAAATCTTGGCTGTTTATCTTAACTCCCTGATATAGATACAATACATTTATCATGTCCAGGACACAGTGGCTCACTACACTGCATTTCTCTACAAAATGGAAATGCAGGAGTCATATTGTAGCTCAACATGCACTCGTATGATCACATCATGCTGACAACTGTACATCTTCCTTTCCCCTTTAAATTGGGGCTGAATCTCAACCCAACATATATATAACTAATTATCAATGAAATCAAATACTGAAATTTGAAAACCCTGTTCTAGAAGATTTAAGGGGAAAAAGGAGGACAAACGGAAATAATAGCATAAAAAAAGATCAAACTCTAAACCTATATAAACAGCTATGCAGGTGGTTAACAGTTGTATTCTCAGAAAAGTTTTACCTGTTTATCCTAAACAATCTTATGAGCGCAGGAAAATATTTCATGAAAGAAAAGACCATTGTAAAGGGTAGATGAAAAGAATGAGTGTAGGTGAAGGGTAGTGATAGGGGTTGGGGGCAGAGAGAAACTTTCAGCTTTTTTGCCTTTAAGAAGCACAAATGTATTCAGCAAAAAACCCCGAAGTAATAAGAAAGAAAAAAGTTACTTTTTAAATACTTGTATTCATCAAAGTTATTGATGAATAACTGTTATTGGCAAGAGAGGTCCCATGTAATTTAACAAATGGAGCATGGTCTCACACTAAATTTGAGGGCACTACTGTCCATCAATAATGAATTAATTTTGAATGCTGCTTAACCACAAATACAAATTTCAGGAAATATTTGATGTATTAGGCAGCACAATTTTTGGTAAATGCCCTGGTAAATGGCAGAAATTTCTTCCACCTTTACAAGTCAAACAATTAGTAGGTCAAGTCAGAAAGTACAAACACTAGAATCCTAGCAAAGAAGAAAAACACTTGTAAAGAAAGGCTCCAGAAATAAATGCATGAATAACTTCATAAAGGATATTAGCAGGGAAACAACAATAAAAAGACTCATCAGCAAAAAGAGCTACATCCTAAAAAGGGCAAGTATTGTACAATAAAGAACTGCCAAGAGTCAAGCTGAGTTAGATCTTCCACAGGATATTAGAACAAACACAAAGAAGGTTTTTCAACCATATAAATAAAACGAGGACACGGAAAGAAATGATGCTACTAAGCAATGAAGCTCAATGGGGAGACTAAGCATATTTAGATATGGGAAATTATGTTTAACATTACATATGGGAAAGGCAGAATAACTAAGAGGCATCAGTACAAAGATAGAAGTTGTCACAACTGATGTAGAAGTGAAGTCTTCAGATCTCAGTGCAGTCAAATTGAGGAAACTTCATCCAGACTTTTAAAAGAATTGACACATACAATCACAAACCTAGTAGCAGGAATTTAAAAAACATACTAAGCATCTTACAAGATCGTAAGATGGTAAACAGCAAATACGGCTTTTTCTACTGCAGAAAGAAGAAGAGAGCATTTCTAGCAGGCCATTCAAAACAGAGCTCCAAAAGGGAACACAAGGCATTAATCAAATTTTACAGTTGGAATAACTAAATGTGTGGAGGGAGGTAAATCAAAACAAAAAGCCTCAGAAATTCAACATAGCTAGATCATGCCAGGTGAATCTGAAATTTTTCTGATAACTTTATTTTTTCAGAGTAAGGAAACAATACGTTTGTTGCCACAACAATCCCTTTGGCTGGAACTAAGCACTTCATAAGGCTAGGTCCAGCTGTACAGTAGGATACATATCAGACAACTGCACAGGTAATGTAAAAGGAGAATAAAAAGGGGATACTGCAGTCCCTTCTGCCTTCTTGAAGGCATTTCCTGCAAGACAGTGCCACACAGAAAGTTAGCCATTAAACAAAAATGAGTAGAAAAATAAGAAACTAGTGAAGGGTTAGATGCTGTCATATTAAAAGAAAAGTTACAGAGCTGAAGGTGATAATTGGCAGCATCTTTCAGAATCACTCCTGAGATTGACTTAGCTCAATAGTTTTTTGTTAATGATTTTAACTCAAAATCAAGATATACTAATGATGTTTGCTATTTATGAAATAAACAGAGATTGCAAATTGCATAGGAAGAATACTGCTTTGAGGGCAGAAGTCTTGAGATGAAATTTAACAATTCAAACCAGAAACGACTAACTAGAACTTTCCAACAGATGAGTTAATATTACTATTATGGAAATGACTGAGAAAGTCCAGGCTTTAAGTGACAGTTACAAGAAACAGTGAAAAAAGGCAGATGCAATCCCAGGAATACATCATAGAATCATAGAATTGTTTAGGTTGGAAAAGACCTTTAAGATCATCAAGTCCAACCGTTTAACCTAGCACTGCCAAGTCCACCACTAAACCATGTCCCTGAGCACCACATCTACTCGTCTTTTAAATACCTCCAGGGATGG